ATCTGTGTTTTACTTTATAATAAAAAGGTAAAAAGGAGAAGACTGAAGAGGAATGTGTGTTGTTCAAAAAAAGATGCAGACTAACACACACACACACACACACACACACACACACACTCGGAGGAAGTAACAGCACTGCATATCATACATATATGCAAAAAACCAGGTTTGTGTTACAAATAAGTTTATATAATAACCTTCTGAAATGTCAACTGTTTTTTACCTTCAGACAGGAAAATTGTTTTTTCAAGTTACAAGTTCATTAATTTTTAATAGAGAAATAGGCTTCACTTACCTAGTCATTATCAGAAATCAAGTATTAAACTAAAAAAGTAACACAGCATCTTATGATAAGTTGGTCCTTCCTCTCTCCCACTCCAATTACATAAATTTCATGGGTCAAGGATATCAAAAGACTGGAGAGTCCAGATCAATGTTTCCCAAACACTGTGCAACATTATCACCAAATAAGAAAAATTAACACCATAAAATTGTGAAACCTCCCTCACAAAACTTATCTAGGCATTTAACACAATCCCAATAATCATACTAACAGGTTTGCTTCTTAGCAGGGAGGGAGTGGTGACTACATATGATAATTTTAAAGTTCATATATTTTTTTACAAACCACACACACACAAATAAATGTGAAAATTCTGTAAAATGAAACTTTAAAGTTCTGTAAAAGGGAACTTAAAATAAATATGAAAATTCAGTAAAATGGAATTACTCCTACAAAAGAAAAAAGAAGTATTAAGCTCCAAGAGTTTAAGAAAAACAGTGTGATCCTACTACACACACAGGCAAAGAGATCAATTAAACTAAATGGATATCCCAGAAATAGACCACAATGTACATGGGAATTTATAATACAAAAGAAATCAAAAGGGAAAATTTGGGACTATTCAGTAAAATTGGAATGACTAGCCAATGGGACAGAGACTGCTTACTTTCCACTAAAATTCCTTCTTCACTTCTTCTTGGCCACATGCTGACCAGCACGGACTGCATTCCCCACACTCCCTCACAGCCAGGTGTGCCCACAAGACTATGTTCTCACCAATGGAAGCAGGAAGTGACATGTGATCACTTGCCCTGAACTTTCTCCTTCGTCCTTCACATGGAGGGAACCCAGCTATGGTAGCAACCCAGCTATGACCATGCAGATAAGTACAGTGACAATTCCTAGAGCCACAGGACAGAAGGAACCTGACTCTCAACGACCAGTGGACACGGGCAGTTCTGCTGACTTGCGTTGCTCACACTGGAACTGTAAAGTGAAGAAAAAAGTCAACTCCTCTGTTCTTTGAACCATAGCATATTTCAGTCCCTTGGGTGCAGCAACTCAGCCTTACCCTAATTAATAGAGCACCCAGAGAAAAATTAAGTTGGATTCATACCTAACATTCCAGATGGATCAAAGATTTAAGCCTAAAAAAAGAACCACAAGACACTACAAGGAAAGATAAGTTTTTAACTCTAAGAATGGAAAAGGTCTTTTAACTGTATTACAAAGTCCTGAAGCCACAAAAAGGCTAAATATATATTTATCTCTATAAATATTATGGGGAGGCGGTGGGAGCCGGTGGGCAGGGGGTGGGGGGGTTGCCGCATGGCTTGTGGGATCTCAGTTCCCCGACCAGGGATCGAACCCGGGCCCCGGCAGTGACAGCGCCGAATCCTAACCACTGGACCATCAGGGAATTCCCTCTATAACTAATATTTTTAAACGTCTTTTATCTACTGTCTCTTTCACTAGGACGTAAGCTCCATGGAGCAAGAACTGGGATCTATTTTCTTCACTATTGTATAACCTACTGCCTAGAATAAGTGCTTAATGCATAAGAGGCATTCAATAAATATTTGTTGAATGAATTGGTAAATTTAAGTATACAAAATTTTAAATAATCCACACTGCAAAATAATTATTTTTACACAAATTACCAAGTAAAATATCACATATCACAAGGAGAGAAGGGGGGGCGGTGCTAATCTGTTAATGCATAGGAGCTCCTGTGAACTGATAATAAAGAGATCAATAACCCAATAGGAAAATAGACAAAGGACACTAACATAGAGGGAACAGAACAGGAAATACAAATGGCCTTTAAACTTATGAAAAGATGCTCAATGTCAATCAAAATAAGAAAAAATGCAAATTAAAGCTCCATTAAACTGTCATTTTTCACCTATAGATTTGGCAGAGAAGAAATGATCAGTTTGACAATTATACTGTGATTGGCAAGGGTATGAGGAAGCAGAGTTTTCATCCATTGCTGGTGGAATCTAAAACTTTGCAAGCTCTATGAACAGAGCAATTTGGCAGTATTTCTACCAAAATTAAAATGTGCCTATCTTTGACCCAGCAATTCCACTATTAGAAATGGATCCTATAGATACGTTCACAAACATGTTTAAAATGATATATGTACAAGGTTATCCCCTAAAGCCTTGTTTATGATAATAAAACTGGAAATGATCTATATGGTCATCAATATAGTACTGGTTAAATAAATTCCAGCCCATCTCTAAGTGGAATGCTTTTTCACTTGGGTTAAAAAAAAAAAGAAAGAAATTGCAATAATCTTTAGATTATTGCTGGTATATGCCTGAAATCTCTGAAAGAATATATAAGAAATTGGTAACAATGGTTGTCTCCAGGAAGGGTAACTGGGAGAGAGGGAGGAGGGAGACTTATTTCTCACTCTTTTTGTACCTTTTAAACCTTATAAACATTGATTATATTATTACCTTCCTAGAAATAAATATTTTATAAAATAATAACAATACAAATATTCATATCGGCCCCAGATATCTAAAAACTTGTCTGGCGATTCTCGCTGTCAACCACGCTAGGAAGCTATTGAGCTGAACAATTTTAACCCTGTTTCATAATTAAGAATCACAGGGTTAGCAATTAACTAACACCATCATCTCCTCCTCCTCCCTCAAATAAATATATGTGCAAAATAAAGTCAGTCTCTTAATTCCACCCCTGTTATTCATTACTTTCTCTTAGAACTCATTGAACCTCATGCCACCTTAAATGGGCATGAAAATATCTCATAGTGCTCCAAGGATGGTAGCCAGAACTAACAACTATGCTAATACATGAACACAGCCTAGTGCCAAGGATGTTCCTTCCAGGCAACCAGAAGATAAAAACCTGACATAAGTGACACCTCGGCAACAGCCCAAAGCTGTGCATCATCTGCCTTGGAAAATAAAAACTCACATACTCAGTGACTAAGAGTTCAAAGTCAACAGTCACGGCTTTTGTCTTTTCCCTAATGTGAAAGGTCTCCACCCCCCCCATATCCCCCTTTAAATTGTAGGCTAACCCCATCACTTGAGGACTGATTGTTATTATGTTACAGCCATATAAGGAACACTAAGAAGTCATTACTTACATTGAGATTCTGCTTAAAAGGGAAAATATCCAAAGCATATCAAGTGAAAGGAAAAAGCAAGTTGTAAAACCAAATGTGTAGCCACGTTCCATCAATTTTTAAACATAATTAATACACATAATTTGTGTGTCTATGAAAAGTGTGTATGTGAAAAATTGTGTGTTCCAAATTATTACCTGTGGGTAAAAGAGAAAAGGAAGGGAGAAAATTTTATCTTTAGACTGTTTTGTACTACTTGAAATTAAATAATCAAAAATAAACTTTTACATAAAAGAATAAAATTTTTGAAAATAATAAATTAGACTTTCCTTAAAAAAGAGAGCACTTGGGCTTCCCTGGTGGCGCAGTGGTTGAGAGTCCGCCTGCCGATGCAGGGGACGTGGGTTCGTGCCCCGGTCCGGGAGGATCCCACATGCCGCGGAGCGGCTGGGCCCGTGAGCCACGGCCACTGAGCCTACGCATCCGGAGCCTGTGCTCCGCAACGGGAGAGGCCACAGCAGTGAGAGGCCCGCGTATCGCAAAAAAAAAGAGCGAGCACTTGACAGCTACTAGAGACCTTCCCCCAAAGTTCTGAACCTAAAGAGGCTACAGAGACCTCATGCTTCTGTCTCTATGTACAAGTTTCAAACCATATCCAGGCAATCCCGACTTTTAACTCAGAGACACTCCCACATACAGTTAGCACTTCAGGCCTCCCCTCATAGAAACATCTTACAGACTATTCTAAAGTTGGTATTTGTGTTACCCCCGTAGCTTAACACAACCTTAATAGCATTTCATCCTGAGAGCAAGACTTCTTTACAGAGATTTCAAAGTACTCCAAGGAAGCATATTATGAAAATGTAGTTCCGGGAAAGGTAAAAGTATGGAGACAATAAAAAGATCAGTGGTGGCCAAGGAGTGGGTAGGGGGCAGGGACTAATAGAGCACAGGATTTTTAGGGCGGTAAAACTCTTCTGTAGGGTACTATAATGGGGGATGCATATTACTATACATGTGTCCAGACCCACAGAATGCACAAGGGCAGATGCTAATGTAAATCGTGGGCTCTGGGTGATAATGACGTGTTAGTGCGGATCAACTACTACAGTAAATGGACCACTCTGCTGGGGAGACAGAGTCTGGGGAAGGCCGGGTGTGTGGGGGACAGGGGCGCCTATGAGAACTCTGTATTTTCTGCTCAGGTTTGCCGTGAACCTAAAACTGCTCTAAAACGTAGCCTCTTTAGAAGGAAAGAAAAATTTTAGAAAGTGGTCCTATAAGGTGAAAAGAATGGCAGAAGCACTTTATACGTAGGGAAATGGTGGTGGTGTTTGAACAACTTGGCCAGAGTTCAAAGATAACTGAGCAACTCCACCAAAAAAAGCCTACATTCAAGGTAATGCAAAAATTAAGAACCATTGGGTTTGGTCCTATCTCTCTTATGTTGGATTCATACAAAACAACGATATGATCATCGTGGCTAAGAATTGACCGTGTCAATTTGATCTCTGCCAAGGAACATTAAAAGAGGTGATTTGCTGAAATGTCTCTGCTGCTGGCCCTGGCAAGGCCACTGAGAGCTCCTAGGTAAAAAGCTGGCTTGGCTACCTTAGAGCCGGCTCCGGGGCATCTCCTCCCGCAGTCCTTCCAGCAGTGGCTCTTCCTCAGAGCTCCGCTCACTTGCTCCTGGAGCCTTGGAGGTGGGAGAGGCGCTCCCAGAGTCTCCTGGAATAATGAGAATTCTCCAGTAGCTCTCGCGCTGGCAATGTGACGCTCACAAGCGGCTCGGGGCTGTGGAGGGGAAGAAGAAAGAAAACCAGCTAAGCAGAAGAAAAGTCTGTAGTTGTGAATGTGCAGGCTAAAGGAAGTGCACACTTGACGAGCCTTTCAATTGAGACCACAAAACCAAGGCCGATTTACAATTGCAGCAAGGATGGAAAGGGTTGGAAAACAGACACGCGGTAAGTTGAGGTCATAGGTCCGTACCGATCTTAAATATTTTTCTAAATGACACAAAACCCAGTGGAACCTGCAGTTGGTAAACTTCAAAATCAAGCTCCTTTAAAGTCCATATACCACGTACTCTAGCCATTACAAAAACAAACAAAAAAACAAAGGCTTTGCATATATCAACTATGATATGTACCTGGGAAAAACAAAGTTCAAACCGTCCACAAGTATAGAATGAAAGTCCCTCTCCAGACCCCTGGCTGCTCCTAGAGACACCCCATGTACCACAGTAACCAGTTTCTCGTGTATCCACCCAAAAATAACCTGGTTTGGGTCCATTTTCAACCACCACTCTCAGCTGTAGACAGATCTAGTTCAAAGACTCATAAAACAATGGTGGGGTTAGGATCACACAGAGGAAAGGAAGGGGGTTCTAGATAACTATCAAAAAAAACAAAAAGCCACCCAAGCTCCTTTTTCCTTTAGGAAGACTTTAAAAACATCAACATTTGTCAAAGGAAGAGGAAATTTTTATCAGAACCAAACTTTCCCATTCAAATAGCTGAGCAACACAAAACACTGAAAAACGTACTCCTTTTGGAAAAGAGCACCTTTTTATTTTTTAACCTCAAGGGACACTTTGCCAAGAAAACTTTCATGTAAATAAATCAAAGCAGAAAAGAAATCCAAAATACAGCACTCCTCAATAATTATTTGGAAGTAAAAATCACACAATAAAAAAAAAATTCACATCAACCTTGAAATTCAAGGGAAATGCTTTACAAATAATATCAAAACTTGCCTCGCTTCAGTTTAAATTGAGCCTCAGAATCAATTTGAAAAGAGAATCGCGAATGTAAAAATCAGACACACAAAAAATAAGACACTAAAATAAGACAGATAAAAATATCCCCCCGTAGAAAGGTCAACCAGAAGCTTGACATTTTCAGCAATCATTTAGTGAAGTTAAAGAGTAAAAAGCCGTTTCTAGAGTGGACATCCTTAAAAACAAACCCTTCAGCTAAGCGGCGTCCACAACCCTTGAGTTTCAGAGCAAACTGTGGAAATCCTGGTGTTTTCCTAGATGCCGGGACAGGGGAGTTTGGCAGATTCACGCGGAAGGTGCCTCCCCACCTGCCGAAGACTGACTGCAATTTAGAAGGGGCGAGTGCAAAGGGGCCTTGGCGGCCGCTCTGCCTAGGGCCGGCCACGTCTTCAAGTTACAGGTACTATTTGGAGAGGAGCTTTAGATAAGCAAGAAAAGAAGGAAATACTGGTGCGTATTTTTCTGATTCTTTTTAAAAATCAGAGATTTTTTTTTTTTAATTACAGAAGTACTTCTAATTTCCCTTCCAACTTCCCCCAGCTCTATCACCTTCCTGCAGAGAATTCCTTCAAGAACGTGCTCAGGTTCTCCTGCCTCGCTCAGCCTTCCCTAATGATTCTCACATTTTCCAGATCTTTCCATTCTAATTCCTCTTGTATTAATATTCTATAGGACTCAATTCTATATGACCTGGTACTTAATCCTCTTCCTTGAACTGGGTTTGTCTCAAAAAAAAACAAAAAATAGGCGAGGATCACATTTTCTTCTTCTTCGACTCGCATACAGTTGGTGCTCAAGAGTTACTGGATAAAAATCAAGTCTTCAAATTAAGCATAGTTGAATATTTGTCTTAAAATTATCAGCCTGTCAAATAACCCATGGATTGAAGTCAAAACTGTGGTGTAGGGCTTCCCTGGTGGCGCAGTGGTTGAGAGTCTGCCTGCCGATGCAGGGGACATGGGTTCGTGCCCCAGTCCGGGAAGATCCCACATGCCGCGGAGTGGCTAGGCCCGTGAGCCATGGCCGCTGAGCCTGCGCGTCCGGAGCCTGTGCTCCGCAACGGGAGGGGCCACAACAGTGAGAGGCCCACGTACAGCAAAGAAAAAAAAAAAATCAGTAAGATAAAATAAATATCTATACAGATATCCTTCGACTTACAATGTGGTTACATTCCAATAAACCCATTGTAAGTTGAAAATGCATTCACTATTTCTTACCTACCAATCCTCATAGTTGAGCCCAGCCTAATTTAAACTTGCTCAACACTTACATCAGCCTACGGTTGGGCAAATTCACCTAACACAAAGCCTATTTTATAATAAAGTGTTGAATACCTCATGTACTTTACTGAACACTGTACAGAAAGTGAAGAACAGAATGCCTCTAAGTGTATCAATTGTTTACCCTCGTGCTCACGTCACTGAGTAGGAGCTGCCGCTGCCCTGCCTCATAAGAGAGGGTCGTACTGCATGTCTCATGTCATTGGCCTGGGAAAAGATCAAAATTCACAATTCAAAGTACACTTTCTACTGAATGCGTATCACTTTCGCACCATCTTAACACTGAAAAATTGTTAAGTCAAACCATCGTAAGTCAGAGACCATGTGCATACAGCAAACTGCAGCAACTTGTCACAAAACTTTCATTGAGCTGAGTTTTTCCAAAACCTTGGCCAATTTATTTGTTTAGCTATGGAGGTTTAATTATTGGCAACTAACCATGCCATGTGAAAATCTGACCCATAAAGGTTAGAGGCACATTCCTGTGAAGTGGTGGAGGGTGGGAGTGAGGAAGGGGGAAAGGAGAAATACAAAAAAACATTCTAACTCCAGTGGCAGGCTTAACATAGTAGTACATTTTTCTTTCATCCAATTTAAGATAACATGCATAGTTTCTTAAAAGTCATGGTGATATGATGGGACTGATAACAGGCAAGCATAAAAGGTACTTAAAATCTAACATGTTCTTGGCAGTCAATACAGCAGCTAAGCGACAGGGAAATAGGGGCAAGTTTTCTCAACTTTTTAGTTATAACTATATCCTTGGCTTCTAGAAACTGTGGCTTTCAAATACTACAAATCCTTGCTCTTTCAAGACATCATCCCTTGTATGGTGATGGATGTTAATGAGCCTTAATGTGGTGATCATTTTGCAATATACACAAGTATCGAATCACTGCAATGTATACCTGAAACTAACATAATGTTATATGTCAATTATGCCTCAATTTAAAAAAAAAAAAAAAAGACAAAAGACATCATCTCATACCTTCCCCATCTATCCACCCAGCCTCATAAACCATGGTGTGTGTATCTTTGATATAGAATTACTGTTAACTGAAATTACTTTAAGCAGCGTATGGTAGCAAGAACATGGACTTAGGAAAGAGCCAAACCCAGTTTTCTAACCTAATAAATGTGATCTTATACAAATCATTTAACCCGTTTGTTTCAGTTTCCTCTGCCACAAAACAAGGTTAATATCTCCCATCTTTAAGAGTCAGTAATAATGCCAATTATCACTTAGTTCTAGAACTGTGCTAACCACACAATTGCATTATCTGATTTAATCCTAACACCACAAAAATGGAGAGGAAGGTATTAGTATTCCTACTTGAAAGATAAGCCAGTGATAGAGAGGTTAAGTAAAACTGTCCCAAGATCACGCTTTTGAAATATGTGGTAAAACAAATCAGCTCAAGTTATGCTGAGTCCAAAATCTGTGTTCTTAATTGCCTGTAAGTTAAACTGTATCTTGACTATTTGTAAGAACTGAAATGAATTCTTGTAGTAAATATTCTTAGGCCCCTTTACTGTTTTCTACCTCTTAAAATAATAAAAGTGCTAAAGCAGCATGGTAGAAAAGCATAAAGTATACCAATCCCAAACAATAACACAAATCATCCACATGATACTACAAATGTCCTCTTGTTCTGGCTCTAAAATAACAACGCTACAACCAAGCATATAAACGTCAAGGATCCTTGAAGAATAATCTACTCCAGATACCTGAATACGTGGGCAAGATAATACTGGGTATTATCTATCAGTAATTCTGAAGAAAGGCAACAGAGATATCAACCAGTTCCCAAGATTCCCAATCTCCCAGTGGGGAAAACAATAGGTCACACACCCTAGACAAGCTTGGGGGACACCACAGAGCTCAAAGAACAAGGAGAGCCACATAAGTTGAGGAAAGATAAATGCTGATTGAATCAGGAAGCAGAGAGGAGCACAAGGATACGGCAAATCTCGTTCTCCAGAAATTTTCCAATTCCCTGTAGACATTATGCTTTGGGATTTGGGAATGAGAAATGGGAATGTCCAGGAAGTTCCCCAGAATTCCCCAAGTTATAAGTTATTCAACAAACACTTCCAAACACCCTTTACTCATTATTATGGATATCTAAAAGAAAGGTTAAATAAATAAGAAATAAACTTAATAGTATTTCCAAAGAATCGTAGTCTGTAACAAATGTTCAAATGCTAGAGAATGTCAGTGAGCATTATTGGAGCATTAATAGCATTCCAATAGCAAGCCAAATCCAGCCCTCAGTTTGTTTTGGTAAATAAAAGTTTTACTGGAACACAGCCCCACTTGTTCATTTCACGTATAGTCTGTGGCTGCTTTCACACGAAACAGCAGAGTTGATAGTTGTGACAGAGTCCATATGGCTTGCAAAGCCTAAAATATTTATGATCTGGCCCTTTAGAGAAAAGGTTTGTTGATCCCTGAAATAACCTTCCTCGCAGATCCAAATGCAGGTTAACAGCACTACACAGAATCACATGTTGAAACTGCCATCTTAAAGGCTTATTTTGCTTTGGAAACGTATTTCTTGGAATACCACTCACAGGATTTGTAAACAACACGCTGTGCATATAAATTTATATTTATTTTATTTGCAAGGATGACTCACCAGTAGCAGCAGACAGGGCCATGAATACCACTTATAACATAGCAACAGCTACAAGCAATCATGACCAATTCTCTCCTCTGCGCTCCTATCCTGACC